AATTCGAGAAAACAACGATGCAGAATTTACAAAAAGAAAAAGGGAGCGGTGGAGAAAACGGAGAGATTAGGACATGAAGGCACACTAGGCTAGAAAAACGAAGGACAGAAAAACAATCATTCCTTTTTCCTCACAGAAATATTTTAAATGCTTCAAGAAAAAAGCCAAGCCCCCTTATTACTACTATGGAATACACTCCAGCACGAGAATATGAAATTGAATTCCATGAAAAGGTCATGGTAGTAAAAACAGCTCCTCTAAAATTCAATGTATTACCTCTAGTTTAGAAAATCTTTCGTTTGCAGCGATTTTATTCACCAATGAGATATGGGCTCGTTGGGGTCGGTCGGATTACAATCGTCTCTGATGGATGAGTTAATGCGCGATGAACACTCTCACACATTATGTTGATTTAATATGCAAGAGTGAGTGAGGAATTGGAGAACAACAACTGAGAAAGCATAATATTCACCGTCTTTCCGAACAAGAACCGGTTTTCAACAGCACGCATGATTCCGCACACAACGTGGATTCGTCTGTAACGTATGCCTTATTGGTCTACATGTTCAATGACGGACGGAAAGACGGAAAGCTATATTAAAGTCTTTGACCGGCCAAACAATTATTGCCAGAACCGGAAGCACGCTGTGAGCCATGGACGAATAGGACGAAACTATGGCTGGCATCAGTCGAACTGTTCGAAATGTGAAAGCGACTTATAAACGACGAAAATCTTTCAGCTTACATCATATTCACGTTGAGTATCGTTGAATAAAAAGATGTTTGACGCAAAAGGGAAGCACGTGAAAACTCACGTTGGATTTACGTACTAATATAGTTTAATCAATATGTTATTGATTCGAAACTAGCGAAAAGCTTTAGAGGTGAATTAGCTGTGGTATAAAAGCTAATTTAAGCTTCCTACTCGTAATGTCGTTAATAAACATTGAGGTATCCAAACAATTTGCACACTGAGTATTAACAAAGGAGGCCTCAGATATCAATTTCTTCCACTAATTACAGTATGGCCGACCGAACGAAAAACGAGAAATAAGGATCGATGTTTCTAATTCGGAGAAGAGTGGCTAGAAAAGAGATTATTGCGAGACGTTTCTACGGGCGTGGCCGGTCGCTGTCGACGCACTACTTTATCGTATCCCGTGAGAAATAGTTAGTCAAGAAAATGTAGTGCAGTTAGTTTTTTATGAGATAATACATGGTAGACGATTTTATCCGAGCACAGTTTGTGTTGCACTCGATGGCGATTGCTCTTACGGGCAGACACTTTGCATTCACAGGGCGTCAACACGGTGTCCAAAGAACAGCTGGAGAGTGTCGGTGGTTGCGCAGTGTGTTTGCCCTATCTCTGGCTGCTGAGAACACACTTCTCAAGAGCGTCGCCTAATGTTTTTGACAAGTGGCCCTCGAACGACAAAGTAGCGAGTGTGTCGTCGTGTTCTTCTCAGGCAATACTACGCTACGATAATAAATGACGACTGCCGCTGCCGGCGAACGACGACACAGTCGGCAGTAGTGAATCGCTCTCGTCGTCACCCACACCGTGCTTTAGTCTCTGTCACTAAACGCATCACACCCGCTGACCAAATAACCATTGCACCATCAAATGGATTTTAGCAGTATGAAACAGATGAAGCATATAACATCAGAATGTCGAAATTCTTGTTTGATTCACAGTTTAAGTACTATATTCCATTTACTGTCTACAAACGACATGTACTTGGCTTCACGCTAGTTAAAGCCGATCTGCGTCGCCTTGCTAGGTTAACAAAAACTGAGCCATGAATAATGCTTGGAAACAAATGTGTTTATGGAAGGCTCACTTGCCGCGTCATTTTCATTAAAATAATTTGTTCTTCTTGTATCGATAATGAATTCCATAGAAGAGACCAATTAGATGCTACACACTAAATCTTGCTAAAAAACAGAAGGATGATTGTTTTCAATTATCGTCGCTGAGCTGGTCAGTGAGTGGACGAACGATTCGACCAAAGGCGGTGCTCGCTATAGTACAAACTGCCGCCTTAGCAAACTCGTATCTTCGTGGCCAATAACGAAAGGGTTTACCGCTGAAGAATGATCCTGCTACTTTGTCAGTCTTGGCTCTACCCAAACATCATATTTACATCCACCGATCAACACGTTCCAGCGTATAGTTAGGGTGAATTTCTAATTTGGCGTATGTCTCTAGGAAGTAAACGAGCTAATACATAAATAATTAATGGTGGTGAAGTGTAGAAGACTATGGAAAAGTACCGGCAAGGTTTAAGTCAAGAATGGCATCGTCATTGCTCGTTTCCTTCTCAATGATGTTGCATGCGTCTGTTTTTTTGCCTCAACCATATCGCCGACAATTATGCGAGACGAGGGGAAATGCCGAAATTTTTCACGAGAACCATTTTCCTAGGAACATAATATGATTCTGAGAATTATTTATGTATAAAGCGTGCAAAATAAAAGAAAACGGTGGAACAAGAGACTAGAAAAACTCAACTCTATGCCGAGATCACTTTTTTCCATGCCTGCGTCGTGATTCGTCCCTTGCTATAGTTCGTTCTCAGCTGCTCGTACCATTTTTTTCCTTCATGCTTTCTTAACATGACACAAAGATCCTATACCCATTTCTGTTCTAGACGATTATCCTTTCGCACCTTTACATGGGGTTTATTCTTCCGAAATATAGCTAAATTCGCCGGTGTGGAAACGTCGCTCTTTTGAATTTACTGGCTCGTAACTGGTTTGTTTGATTACAGAATGTTTAAGAAAATGACATCACAATCATTTTTAAGAAAAAAAAAGTACGAAAAGTTGACTAGTGAAATCGTGAAAGAAGACCTAAGATGAAAATTTTGGAAATCATGATCTTCATCTCAGTGGCTTTCACAAGGAGTAAATTATTCGTACCGTATTAACATCAATCCTTTATAAAATGAATGAAACGCTTCTAGAAACCTCAAGATCAACGTGATTATAGAAAGCTAACACCTGCAGAAGTCTGCGCCAGTGTCATGTATGATTCCGGAGGCAATTCAATACAAGCCGTGTTGTTCACTTCATCTTCAAAAACACGAAAAGAGTTGAGGTTACATGTGGGGACTTGCCAAGTGTTACGCCTTCACCGGCGATTAATTGTCGCCAATATCCGCCTGGCGACGGGGCCAGGATAAACAAAACAACAGGCGATAATGGTCCATGACCGCAAGAGAGTGCTAGACAAGCTAGGATAGCGAGAGAATGGCGGACAATGGGGCGAGGCATAAGGAAACTACGTGGAAGACAGGCGGCCGCATCCCGAGCGAGAAGAAACTAACCACCGTAGTAGCCCATTATGCCTACTTATTGCAATCATAAAGAATCATTTCAAAATCGAAATACAGAATAATGGGAGATCAATAATGAGAGTATTTCCGTCCATAGCAACGTTACAGAGAGAACTGCGGATGTTCTCGTAAACCGTTGCGCAACGACGTGACATCTATACGAGTCATATGATGCAAGAATAATGATCGCTTTCAGCTTTAAATCAACATGTCTCGGCCCATTGTAAACTTTATTAAATACGGCAAATTCTTTAAGAGCTTGCGAGTCTTTGCCTACTGGTAGAAGTTTTTTGTTTTACTATAATGAAATCTAATTCCTTCATTAGTCCATAAATTATCAACATTATTGAAAAACCAGCTGTTTCATTGTGAAAGGTTTAGTTGTGGTGACTCTACATGTTCTGCAGAATCTAAAGATCGTTGTTATCACAGCAACGATTTTTCGTTGCGCAAAAACTCTATCGCGACATATTTCTCTTTCCTTAAACGAACTCTGATTCAACACATGGGTCCAGTTCTTCAGATGGGCACAACAACGATATTCTTTCACGAAGTATCAATTAATTGTTTAATTCACTGTGTATTCAATATACTGTGTCATCACCTGATCTACTAGATGAACGAAAATTGAGTTTCCGTTACCTTGTGTTCTCATAAATGGATTCATGACATCTAGAGATTACTTTTGCTATAAGCGTAATCAATACCAGCACTTGATAAATTTGTCCCGAATCGCTTAGGATTGTTGAATCCCTTGGCATTAGAGGACCAAATATTTTTCCTCCTGAATGCTAGTAAGAAACGTCGGGCTGTATGAAGGATTGCTCACATTTTTTCTTACATGAAGTAAGTATGACATGTCAAAGGACATTAGAATAATTATGCTGCCACATAATGTCATCGTCGATCCCCAGGGAAGATACGATGACGACCAATTGCCGATGGCGCATGTCATTGCCGTCCATTAAACATTTACTTGAATTCTATCCTCTCCTAGAATAACTCACCTACGGCGGGGAATCGCCCTGCAATAGAACAAAACTCAATTATGTCATTTGGGCGCACATGACATTCCTGAAAACTAGCCAGCTTACACGTGTGCAGTTTCGGATGCGGGAGACTAAAACAATTCTCGAGTCTGGAATTTTCGGTGAAATGCTAAGTGAATTAGTGAGTTCAAATGACTTAGTGAAATACTGAAGAACTAGGAAATGCCACATAAATTCGTTTGAGGAACGAAGTGAGATGTAAAGACTGAAAACGCCATTGCGATTATGAAGACTTGAGTCAAACAACGACATCATAGGGGATTTTACCACATTTAGCCTTACGATTCATTACGTTAGGATATTCCAGCACCTTTTGGTATGTTGCCTTTTATATTTCGAGAAACGTGCACACATATGGAGTAGTTTATGAAAACGAAGCGAAGCAGATAAAAAGGTATGGAATGGTACGATACTGGATAAGTCAAAATGAATATTCATTTCTTCTCCATTTTGGCAAAGATTGAATAAATCTACAATTCAAATAACGTCACCATGGAAGCAGTTAAAGTGTGCCGAGTTTCTGTGAGGCAAAACTGCTCAAATACTAAGCATATTTTGCTACTATTCGTTCAAAGTGGCCAAATAAAGTCGACTATACAACTGTATAAATAGAATGGCCACGTTATTTCAGAGAACAAAACTTGAACGCCGAGAATATTCATCGGTCGATGATGTACTTGATGGGGAAGAAAAACCGGTACTCGATGACCGAGAGAAGCAAGCGATTTGTCACGTCGCCGTCGTCGCTGGTCGCCGCCAAAAACAGTTGGTGTCTGGCATTCGCTTGGTCCATGAAACATCCACTTCCGAGTGACGTCTCTCTGGACTGGATGTTCATTCACAACGGACACATGTTCTCGACGATACTTTTTTCCTGAGTTCGTCTGACTACAGTGCTCTAATTAAATGATTGGTGTGACAAGTTGGCGACTAGCTCTTCAGTTCTTTTCGCTCCCATATAATCGCTCGGCCGGCGATAGCTATCAAGGAGAACGCGGTGGGTGGGTGGCCGTTATTCACTGCTAGGTGCACGCCGATGGAGAGATAATTGCCTAGTCGAATAAATTTCATGTTAAACCTTAGCTCCTATAATTAATACCGATATTATTAGCATTTGAACTGCTTGTTTTACCGAATGCTAATAGAAAAAAATTAGTCAAGTTTGTGAAATATTTTAGAATTAAGAGACCATTTGATTTCCTTCTATTTATAGTATCGTTATTATCAAGTGGAGACCTCATAGAAAGCGGCTCTGAAGAAGGCGAAGTTCGCCGAAACGTCAGCTTAATCGTGAACAAAGAACAATAACACCTCGCGTTTGCTCAAAAAAAAAAATACGAGCAATATCGTTATTATGATTAACAATATTTTTCCTACTGGGACGCGTGTAGAGCAGTGGTTAAGAGCTTCTTATGAAACACAAATAGTCGTTGGTTCCAGCACCCGCCCCGTGGTAACCGAGTCTTCCAACCGTCCGGGATCGGCAAATTTGTACAAGATTTGTCCTACAGGAGGATAAACACTCTGGTTTGATGCACTGGTTGGTTCCCGAAATACACTTTATAGGCTGAACATGCATTCAATCACTTCACGATGTTTAATGGAATAGAGTCTAGTGAGCGTCCCTCGTGGATCGTTCAAGGCCAAATGCTTTTACGCTTTATTGTTATCATTACCATGGTTCACACACTATTATCATTGTCGTCATTTTCATTATTGTTATAAGCTTATTATCACTATGATGCTGAGATAATTGCACAACTCGGGTCCCAGATCAGATCAAACCTGCGATTAACCTTTTCAGAAGCTCACGTGTTACCACCACTGATGCCCTTGCTTTGCTTCTCTCAGCCAGTTTTCTACCTAACGTTGCCGTCAGCATATTATTGTTATTATTACATTATTGTACAATACCAATTATTATCACAATTACATTTTTATTTGTACTTTTGCTTACTATTTACTATTTATTATTTTTAGTAATGTGTAATATTACTATCATATTTCAGACGGTTTTTTAGATATTGGAAATCCTAGAAAAACGATCCTGTACCGCCCATTTGTAGGGCAAAATAAATCTAAGAGGTAGGATATGGGATATTTCTTGGTGTTTCCTCTTATTTCGTATTGTTGAAGTCGAACCAATTCCAATGAACGCACACTGCAAGACTAAGTAGTGACTAGAGGAACGAATGACCAAAGCTCCGGGCTAACAACTCTTTCGTCGCAACCTCTGAGGAAGTCCCACTCGTCACGGTTGCGAAGGACGTTGTTTTTGCCGCGCTAAACTTGGTCTTGCTTTGATCGGTGGCGCAGTTGTTTCGAATGGCACATAGACAGGTTATGAACGACAAATTACAACAAGCGACGACGACTATGATGATGATGACGACGACGACGACGGCGACAGCGAAGCGACGGTGGCAGTGACGAACACATTCGCCATTCAATGTGCTTCAGTGCAGCCTTTACACGAGACGGGTTGTTTGCACTTAGCGCTAATCACTCGTTTGAGAATATCAAAAAAAAATTCCAGTGCTCCACCCATTCAACCACTATGCATTGTTATGGTTTTTCTTTCATAATAGTTAAACAACAAGTAGAATGAGATCTTTTACGATTCACCTGCTACGATAGGCACAGAAAAACGATCACCATTTCCTTTTCCAATGTAAGATGATGTTTATACCTTACAAGCAATTTTTGCACTATTTAAAAATTGCCCGTTACCGCTTTCAGTTAGTTTCCTTATTGAATCTTGGAAATCGAAAAAGTAAAGCGAAGTCTGAAAGCGTGTGTTTACATGGTTGTGTTAAGTGATATGCGCTCTGATATCTGATATCATCGTTAGGTTTTCCCGGTGAAAACTGAGTTAGTCCTTCTAAAGCAAGTATCAATGGACAGATATTTTTTGCCCAATGTGATCACGCAACTGATTCTTTAGGCAATTTTCGGTTGGAATCCCCGTGTGCTCTGAATTTGTGGACAAAAACTCATCAAAACGGAAATCTCACTTGTGCAAAAATATTTTGCGCTGAGATATGGATGGCAACAAACTATCAGTTTAATAAACTCTCTGGTAATAAAAAACAGAATTGAAGGAAGAAAGTTGAGTTGTTTGGTTCTTTTTAACGAACTCTGACTCATCATAGCATCCATTTACTACTAGTTGTTGGATTATTAAATTTCCACCACTGCCGATCCAAAAAATTGCTGGTAAACTAATCATACGGACCGAGTCGTGTTTAATCCGGATACTTTCAACTGTGCTGAATGTGTCCACTATTTTTTAGCACTAAAATTAGGCGTCATGATGTTAATGAAATCGTTCACGGATAGAAGGGATGTTGATTTTTCCACAAATTTTCGGGCTTGATCACACCTGAACTCACCTGAGAGAGGAATCGCTGAGCAGGCTCGATATTGTGTTTTCTAATCACCGTCATTTTCGTCGGCATAATTATCGTCGAAGAAGCTTACAGTGGAACATTATCCAATTTCGTCCGAGTGCGGCAAAGCAAAGCCTAGTGACCCGGCGCTCGGCCATTATATTAGAAGTGAGTAGGGCTCGCCGTCTATTCCGGAAGGAAAGTGCATTGGTTTGATGCAACTCAGTTTTATGCTCACCTCAAGGGAGCAATGGTCCTTACAGATTACGAATTTGCATTTTGCACCTTTGAATAATAAACGTATGATGACATTATAGGCATGATGAGATATGAACGAAACTCGGAACCTCAGTTGTGCTTCGTGACCGCGATCACTCTTGCAGCAGGCACAGTGCTCTCCAATATAATAACATTGGTTTCTTAAATTTTTCATATGTATGGCAATAGGAGTCGTTGCAAAAATAGGGTCTTCAATTTTATGCCCGCATTATATGGTTGAAGAAAAAACTGATGAATGGGATGTTAGTGAATACGAAGTTCAAAGTTTGGTTCATGTTTTTGGAAGGAAAGGGGTAACAACGATTTCATGGGGCAAATTGAGCTGTTGATTGAAATTGAAATGCTGACGAAAAGATTAATCATTGGAAGTCTTCTAAGACAAGAAATGCAGATCGAATTCTCTAGTACAATCGGATAACGGCGTACAAAATGCAGCTTATCCGAGCAATCTGCGCTTCCTCACGCCAAGATGAGCGCCGGGTCGCTGGCGAATGACCTCGTTTATGCAAGACACCCGGCCAACGGTCAGGATCATTTTAACGGCCGACACGTGATACCACCAGTCCCTTAGCGGAAGCTGTTGAAATATTTTCCATGAAATTCCATGACATTTTGCATAAGCGCCACCTCTGGCGTATAGTAATAGCAAAGGCAATTCCGTGAAACTAAATTTCTTAATATGAATTTGTCTTGGGCGCAATAGAAACAGGTTCTGATGGACGGAAATGTGGCCTAATTGAGCTGTTCACAAGATGTTGCATGTTATCAGCGGACATAGGTGACAACAACTGATGCCGTCACGTCAACACAATGGACTGCTCACGTTTTTCGATGAACAAGTTCTGATTTTCCGCTATTGAATGAAATAACCAGTTCAAGACGCTTGTCTTTTTACAGAAAAATACGACCACATATTTTCCTTTTCACGTTGACTTATTAAGGAACTCAAAGTGATGGAGCGATTAGTTGCTTGATTTCCTTAATAACAACGACGCATAACATCTGTACACACACACACACACACACATATATATATATATATATATACACATACACACATATACACACATAAACACAAACACAAACACAAACACACACATGCGCTCAAACATTTCAAGCATCTGCGCATTTGTAGCCTTCCGCCATCTTTCCCATTACCTTAGTGACCGACTAGTGCAAGTAGAGCGTCCACAATAGCAGAGGGAGCTACGAGAGACCGGTTTTTAAAAACATTCGCTCAATATTATGACTATTACTTGGCACACTTCTCACTCGCTCACGATAATGCAATCATGCCCATGCCACTGCCTATTTGTAGGCCATTGCTTTGAAACAAGACCATCTACCGGAACTTTGTCAGATACAAATAATATTTTCCCTTGTCATGATGTGATAACTATCAGTTATTCACAGCTGCGATAGCAGAGGAGTAATATGTTTTTAGACTTAGCCGTACTGCTGCTTATTAAAGTTCTGAATTAGCGCCAGCGCGAAGCCTAATGGGTTATCAACGTGCATAAACATAAACATTAAAGTTTGTTTCTAGAAAGATATCACTCATAATACCCTTTGATTTTTTTATCCTAGGAATTTTTTCAAACATTGCAATGGGTCACTATTTTTCGCTAGACACTGCGTTGATCAGATAGCCGTTATGTAATTAACACGCTCTTTGGCGCGACAAGGATGCCGAAATGGACGGGGTGCTGTAGTTTTAGTGGTTCCGACAGTTACGGCGCATTTGCGAGTCGATTCTTCAAAATTTCGCCGAACTGTAGTTCCAGCGAACATGGTTTTCTTTCCATTACAAGTAGGTGTCAACATAAATGATTGCAGTAGTTTCAAATATGTTTCAACACGAGGGTATTTCATCATTCAGAGTCATCTTCAAATGAATCGCTCGAAACAGACAGCGCTGCACGAGTAGCATAGCACGTGATAGTGCCAGGGAGAGAGAAAGAGAGCTTCATGCTTTCCACCGGCCACAAACGTACAGGCGGACGAAGTGTCGGCTCAGCAACGGCTCACACAGTTAAGTGCTTTGATGATGATGGCGCATTACACTGGACCTCCTGGAGGGTGAGTCGCACTTCCAGTATTCATGAAAAGCAAGTCACCGGGTGTCTCCTAGTCCAGTCGGTCTCCAAGGGCAATTTTCATGGCAAATATTGTCTTTCCAATTGAGATCTGATCATTTAGATCCTTGTACGATTCGTAGTCTATGTATAGAACACCGTAATCTACTAGGTTTGAGAACGTTTTGATACTGAATTACGTTATATATATAGGTTCATAGTTCCTAAAAATCGATTCCCTGCTAAGTATGGGTGTTCGCTCTTGTGTTACTCATTCTTTCTTGACAGAAAGGAATGTTTAGTGGATTTTTTCATTTATGATGAGCTCAAAACCCCACTTAAGCCCGTTCTTGTCTTCGTAGAAGAGGATAGGATATAAAGTGCAAATTCATTATGAATATGACATAATATAGTTGTACCTAGTGGAAATATTTGTAGATGTACCACTATTTGAATAATATTTGTAAGTGAGCGACATTTATTGCGTTATTTTTGATCGCCCTCGACATCCACTAATTTTCGATTGTTAAAAAGAAAAAGGTTTTCGCAAGTACGAAATTTCGGTCCACTCTGCGAACATCTGGAAGGTCCTTGTGAACCACTCGTGTGATTTCTCCAAGAGATTCGAATCAACCGGCTCATGTGTAATGGCTTTCTTAAGTGACAGCTGAATATCCGCCAAAATTTTCGCTGTCGGCCATACAGATTTCTGGTAATCAGTTTTCTTTTCGCGACCAACAAACGCGATTACGTGGATGAACTCTAACCGTCGTCGAGAGTGAGGTTGATCGGGCCGATCGGCAGCCGAGCAGCAGCTGGGGCACATCCCTCTCGACCAGCAATCGACCCCAAATTGCGCATTTTCCAGGGATTTACAAATAGACAGTGGTTCTAGTGCAATCGTAAAAATATGAAGGAATCAGCGCAAGTGATGAACTTTATTCGGCTGATCTAGAAAGTAAAACCACTGTAAACCTATCAGATATCAAATCTTTTTATCGAAAGCTGCAATTACCTTCGCTCCAATTAGCTCCACCTGGTTTGAACTGATCTCAGCAGAATTCTGAGGTATTGGAGAAAATCATTTCATTGTACCAAATGGTCTAGCAAAGTTTGGAACTGAATATTACTACTTGTAGGAATGACAAAGATAATTGTCATTAGTAACCGCAAAGACTGTAACACGAAATGCTTTCAAATTGTAACTGATAATGAAAAGGTAACTTTCTTCGAAAAATCATTCTCTGCAGCAACACAGATTATTTTTAGCTAAGAAGTGCTTAGGAACATTTGACAAATAGAAGTAAAACATAGTACGCCAGAAACTATGTAAACTAACGGAAATCATGCTATCTAAGGGCAAATAGGGCCACAGGTATGAAGATCGCAACACGTCAACTTAGTTGGCAACTTTTTAAAAGCTAAAAATTAGGCGCTTACATCATCACGCCTTTCGCTGATTAACACCTACCGCATTAGATTCTATAGGAGCGAAGACTTACGCTAATAAATCTCACAAGGGCGATTTCATCTTCCAATGATACAGTTTAGAACAGGGTACCAACTTTCTCAAGAAGTACAAAGTACCGCGGCCATTTTCGTAATCCTTTAAACGCCACTATTATTGCTGCCATATATTTATGCATGAGATTCCAATAAACAAAGGAAAAGAAAAACGACTCGAAAGCGCCTCTGCCCTTCGACGACATCATGTGGTAACTCCTCCTGTGATTACGAAATGTCTGTGAAATTGTTTTTTAGCTCGCATAACATAACTTCCACTACAAAGGTTTCGTTTAAATAGTATTAAATAGCAGAGTTTTCTTTCGAGAAAAGCAAGCCGCGCCATAAGATGAAATGTGAGAGATAAAGGTTCCACCTCATTCATTAAAATTCGCTAGTTCATCTCATATGGTGCCCTCTTCTGGTTTTGGCATAGCAAAAATCGCCTTCGTATTTCCATACAGCCAACTCATTATTGATTTTACTTTCGATGAAATCTATCGTAGTGTTTCTATTGCTAGCCCAGCTGATCAATAGTATGTATCGGTGACGGACAAATGAAGCATTGTGATGATTGCATGACATACAAGGATTGGGAAGGGGTCGGATGGTTGAGTAGGATCTCGAACTCGATCAGACCAGATGAGGAAATCACACTTTTGTCACCAGCGATAAAGAGCACTTCGATAGCGTGAGAACTCATGATTCAATTTGGCGGAGATTTCAAAGACTGGTTATATCGAGATATAGCCGATTACAACCGCATCCTACGCAACGCAAACATACAACGCTTAGAACCTAACAAAACGGCTTTAGCGTCTGGACATTATCCTACCACTTTCTAGGTACGATTGATACAGGCTATCAATAATTATTAGTGCTCTTTTTATATTATTACTAGCAATGCGTTAATTTATTTGCAATTTCACAAGCATATTTTTCCATGCTAGTCAGTCCTGCCACCGTTGCGAATAATCTAATCAACGAGATTATCTCCCTCGGAATTCGTAGTTCCGAAGCATCTTGGCCTTGACTAATCAGTCTTGCGCCGAACTCTCATAATAAAACAAGGCTAAAAACTTAAAAAAGTTCTAGATATCAAGAACTACTTAAGAACTATGGAAGTGATGCGATAACGAGAAGATTCAGGTGTTTCACAGATAAGGCGGTGTTTTTGAATCTCTATGGGGCCGGTGTGAGTTCGGGATAATGTGTTGCGATGTTAGCTATTTCGTTGTTTTTCTGGTGTCGTTTGTTTCGGACCAGTCACAAAAGAGCCGCCTTCAATGAGAGGAGGTGGAGAGTGCTCGACGAGAGCGCAACGACGAGGCACAATGAGGCCGACGGGCCTGACGGTGGTGCCTGCATGCCTTAGTCTCCAGAGAGAGGCAGCAGACACCAGCTATAGAACCAGGCTTGCACAAAACCCTCACAATGGCCATCATCTTCCGATACGTAATTGCATTCGAAAGTGAATCGACTGAACGATTCAGGGGCGATATAAGTTGCTGACATATGCAAGAATGAAGAGCTTCTTCGATAAGACTCGGTTTCTATGCTTAGCCATCGATTAATTATGGATAATGACTGGTTGACATTCAGGGTTAGGGAGAATGAGCACAGGAAGACAAGCCGTTCTAGAAGTGACATGGTGACTCTCAAGCAAAAACACTAAGGGATTGACGATACAATCTTTTACGTTATGTAACTTCTTAGTAAAAGTTAATTTCACTATCTCGCAGTTCCTTTTCTTTATCTCGGTCACCATTAGGTCTCGGTGTGGTTTGGGCGAATTTTGTGAAATTCCTTTTTACTTTTCATCTTTGGAGCTTCTAAGACTTTTGAATAAAAGACAGACTATTGCTAAGTGTCTACCCTTCTTTACAAATCTCCTGTATTTCATCTCTCGTAGTGAGCCTGAGCTATTAAATAATATTACTATTAAATGACATTATCGAGAAATGCAGACAATCAAGCCATTCCCAATAATGAGATCGTTCTTGCTATCCATAAAATACCCAGTACGCGATGTGAGAAAACAAAATGAGAATGAAGAAAAAAAATGAATGAAAGCAACCTATGTGAATTTAGGGATGTGCTTTTTATTACTATGACAACCTCGTACAAACTAAGTAATAATAATGTGTTCTTAGCGCTCAGGGATTCGTTTTTTCGTTTAATTTTAACGAGGTTTTGTTTTTGGTGGCGTGATCCAGGTGTGTCATTTGAATGTATTTCCCTCTGAAACTATGCCTGTGCATTCGTAAGAGGTTTTGTTGGCTCTTCTAGCTGTGTCCTCCGAAATCCTCTCCTCTATCCTCTAGTTGCTGGGTTATTCGTCTTGAGCCCTCTGATCTAATAAAAATACAATTTCATTTGTGAGAGTGTTGAAAAGAAGATGATGAGAAGGAAGTTTTATATTGGAGGGGCATTAGTATCATAAATATCGCTAAGAGAGAATTTACGCCGTTTTTTTCTGCCACCGTAGCATTTTTATTTGTGCTGATATGACTATGGACACGGGCAGCCCTTCGAGTTTATTGGACAAATAAATGATTGAGGTCGGGGCTTTGCTGACGCAGCGACGTATTTAATAGAGATCGTATCGAGATAGGGGAACGAATTGAAAGGCTAAGTGAAAAGTATTCGTGTTCCAATAACGATCCTATCCCTGCAATTAAACTTCCGTCATCCACGAAAACTATCCAGGAAAAAAGTACCCACGAAAACTATCCAGGAAAAAAGTAATTATTCCTTGAGTGCCGGACGTCCAGCTACCTTATCGCTGGCAATAGAGACGACGAAATCATTGTTGCAAATTAAATCAAATCATCTGACGAAGAGAGAAAACTGGATGCTTCAGATAACGTTTCCAGCCCTCATACCTATAGAGAAAACAGTTCCTTCAGAAGGAAATCGCTCTTGAAGCTTGCAGTGTCAGATTTCCCCGAAGGATGGCATTTTCGCTAATACGAATAAAATTTCGAACTAACTTTCAAAAAAGGAATCATGCATTTTTTCATTTTCAATTCGAGCATTTTAGTGCCATATGAATATTATCGCTGTGATGATACACTGATAAATGAAAGAACAGGGTATGAAGTGAAGTGCGGTGAAGCACAACATAACGAATCTGACAGCCATGATTGATCGTCGTCAAGAGTCTTAACCCGTATTTCATTTCATAAATGGATTTCGTACATCATTTTTTTTGCTTAATCTAGGCCTAGTTTTCTAGGAAGGTGGACGATCTTGGATTTGAGTCACCGTGGAGCGATGAGCGAAACCTGGACGGAGACGAGCAGGTTATGGCCGCGAAGCGAGAGTACACGAAGTTCTGGGCTGACTACTTTCCTGTGGTGATGCGGAGAAGGAAGCGCTGGGAACACACCGATCCCAGACGTGACCCAAGCAAACGTATGTTCTCAATTCCTCCTTCACTACTACATACTCAGTTGCATTTGAAAAGGACTTCAGCTAAACGTTTATAATACCAATTTTAGCTTACTATTTACCGCTACTCTTTTTAATGGCAGAGTATACAATGCGAAATATAACTTCAATGATCCTGAGATATTTGCAAAACTCCGGACCGCGGGTGTATGCGGTGGGGAACGAACGCGCCATTGTTCTTTCCGGGGAGTACGCGTTCACCGCCACACCACGCGGGTCCTTCGTTTCACCTGTCTCTCGGATAGTTCTATCGATCTTTTGCCATCAGCAATTAGAACGGACCTAGGACAATAGGGTTATAGGGTAAAGGACAATAGCGCGTTCGTTCCCCACCGCAAATACCTGCGTTCCGGAGTTTTGCAAATATCTCAGCATCGTTGAAGTTTATAATACCATTTCTAGCATTTTTTTAACCGAGGGATAGAAAATTCGAGGTGCATAGAGTTTCTCTGTGCTCACCATCTCAGTATGTTTTCGCAACATTCTGTGTTCATGAATTCTAATGATTCTGACTAACGATTGAGAAATGTAAGAATAAATAACCGAAGAATTCTTTCTTGTTAATAATTATATCCCATCAAAGAGGCTTTCCAAGATATCTCTTCAAAACGCTCATCTCAGCCTCCATATTCACTGAATGAGAAGAAAGAACAAATAGGTTTCGTCGAATATCCTCTTCCTTTTGTCATCTCTAACCTCAACATCTGTTAGAGACATGTCATAGATCATTTTTCCATTTCCTTTCACGTTCCGTGCAGCTGCTATTTTTCTTTTATTTGACAATTAAATAGCTTATAAAAACCCGACTATCGAGTTAGCCGACAGCTGGTTGTTAAAAGGATTGCGAAAAAAAGTCGTTGCGAAAACAATAGATCCTTTCCGATGCAAAGCTATCCAGCTCAGATCAGTTGCATTTTTTTTTGAATTGTTATCGGATACTCTCCACCATTTCTATCATCCCATTCGATTTCCAAACTCGAATTTTTGACTGCGATGAGAGTAATGGGTTTCTGTTATGCTCAACTAACAGATTAGCATAGAGTGTATAATATAACATCATCTTGCACGCATTCACATTAAAGATGTATAGATTTTTTGAAGCAGGAGGGAGGCACTTCCATTCCATAGTAATCTTGCTATCGTCACGAAAAAGCTTTCATAGGAAATGATCTAAAGTGATGACGAATAGAAGTTTCGAAGACGCTGCAAAGACAATGCCATTGTTAACGACGAAGTGTCCAGCAATCGTATTAAGAATACTAAGTTTTTATTTACTGCCTACCAAAATTTTTATGGCAGGGAATTATGCGAAATACAACCACAGTGGTGCTGAGATATTTGCAAAACTCAGGAGCACAAGTGTCCGAGGCGGGGAACGAACGCGCTATTTCTCTTTCTGGGTGCTATCGCGTTCACCACCACACCAATCGTATCGATAGTGGTTTTCTTTTTTTAAAGTTGTGCTATCATAACCATAGCACTATCAGTACTTATAATGAGCAATGAGAAAGATATTTTATATTAAAACCATTGACTTTCTCACCAATATTCGGTAGCAATGGCAATGTCGGAGTAGCATTCGAAGTTCCTCGTCTCATCGTTGCTCACCTCGTCATCGCCAACTATCAACAAGAACTCGTCGCTTTTCTTATCGGCCAACACATGAGCGACCGAATGAGGAGCCAGAACAGATCGCCCGAATGACGCAATCATCCGGAAGGACCTTCATTACCAGATGCACCTCCATTGTTGGTAAAAGAATAAAATTACCACCGATCATTCTACACTGCTTAAGACCATCTGATTTCACAAATCTTTCTAGTAACGATTTTCGGCCATTTTATGCTAATTGAATTAATTGTCGACGGAAACTCCCAGAATTAATGAAAAAACCAATGAAACCATGAAACAAAATTTGTTGTACTACTTTATCGTGCAAATTAATCCAAATGGAACGATAATGTGCTAGCATGACTAAGGCTTCCTTGGAACTTCCTGTCAAGTGGAAATTCTACTAAGCACAACTCGTGCTTCGCTAAATTCTAGATTTGGGCGATTTAAACCTTAAGTAGTTCTGATGATTCCAACAATATCAGTTAGAGAATAAGCGGAGCCAGCAAAAGTCACTGACGAATTTAATGGATTTTTTTGGGGAAGGACACGAACGGAAAATTTATACTGTCCCACGCCCTCATTTCCTCCAATTTATTACGCATTTTTCATAATTGGATTGGAAACAACTGGATGAGGCAGTCGTGTCGGTCGCCACTGGATGCTGTCACCTTCCACATGCTCGTGGCGTCCCATCGCGTTAATGACATTTGTGAGATGAGCGCCGGTCGACGACGAACACACTCATCCTTGACATGCGACGGGATCAATCTCATGACATCAACGGCAACGATTTTGCTGGTCATCGTCGAAAAAGTCCTGCCGAATCACCTAACTGGCACTGTACGAATCAGTTTTAGATGCTCGTGTCGACGGATTTCTAACACTATACAAAGTCAATTTTCATTTCATTCAAGATCTTCTTTAGATTCCATCACAAGCGTCCGATTAATGAAATATTCATGTGTTCGAAAGCTTACGTACTATGAATTCGTATATGGTTATCACAAATGTTCCTATAGTAATGAGGCATGAGAAAGCTTCTTTAACGCTCAGCAGGACCTCGGGGATTCAAACAATATTTTTGTAATTTATTACATCGTAACGCGGTTCGAGGATAGTGCAGTTCATTTACTATTGAAATCCATCATGTTTCTACCGTGAAATGCGTCCGATTTTAATTCTAAAGAAAGTTTGTCCGTCCGAAGTGTAAATGTTTGTTGAGTGATCGTGTGACGGATGACGATCCGTGCCAACAAATGACATAACCAAGTTTTCGACGCAAAACGGGACAGGCAATTTCGGAGTTCGGATGGAAGGGATAAGCGACGTAGCGTCGAATCGTAGGGAAATTACGTAATCGAGAAAGTGATGCCCATAAATTAATAAGAGATAATAGTAATAGTAGTATTGACAATGATGAGTGTAAGAAGGACAATACAACTATGACGTGAATAGAGAATTAGACGTTTATCAGTAATAACGATACCGAAAAAAAAAACAGAAGAACAAATACGTAGAAGAGCAACTGAAATCGCCATGTTAACTCCTCGAACTTGTCCCATCTTTGACAGTGGTTGAAATTTGCTGACACCAGTTCGTCTATGAGCTATCACGATCCGTGCCAACAAATGACATAACCTATCAAGTCTATGAACTTCTACGAAAACTACAAAAACAGTAAGTGTTTCACCTACTCTGAGAACTTTTGCCGTTTAAATTGGCGATATTAGTGGTAGAAGGCGAATAGAGCAGTGGTAATGAAGTCGATCATCACAAGATCGCCTGCAATTCGACTTTTCTTCATACTCACCGGAGTTCTCATCCCTCCAAGGTCAGAAAGTTGGTACTAGACTTTGCTGCGAAGAGATAACTCTGTTGAGTCAGAGTGGGAGCGCTCTAGCCAGACTATATAGGGACTCCAGTGAGAGAGAGACAACTCGACCTACATCCAATGACACTCACGAGCACCAAAAGTCCTAATGAAGCAACCACAGCAGAATCAGGGGCCGTTTGTGGATGATCGATGCGAGGAAATGAATCGAATGCAAGAAATCCTGAGATCCGCACAACATATGATGCCGCGTCGAATAAGATAAAAAAAAATGTTAATATCCGCTTAAATAAGCAGACACTCAGGTGCTCGTCAAGCGGCTTGCCATCCCATGATGCTTTATTCTGTATAATGGCAAAAAAGCAACCTAATCGTGTCTTCATTTCAGTGCAACGATTCGTCTACAAGGGAATCCCGGCACCGTTTCGGAAAGAGGTGAGTATGTTGACTTTAGTCAACGTGTTGTCGATTCATCACGAAGGTTTCTAACGAAGCTACCACCTTCCTTGTAGGCAAACTTAGAGTTTGTGAAATGTACCTTATCGCAGCAGTTCTTTTGTATGGTTTTCCATGGATTTCCATCGAGAATCGATATATGTGGGCAGAGAACTGGTTGTCAACTCTGGTTTACTTTTCGCTTTGAAATCACTCGCCAGTCCGCGGGGAATTCGCAGCCAGTCGCCCACGTATCATTTTTCTTGTTCGTCGATCTCTGCAACGCCAATTGCCCGGATGATTAGTGAGGTCGTATGTTGGTGTACCTAAGCAAATATGGCTATAAATAGGGACAGAAAAACGACTAGAAAATAGCTTACGTTTTTTATTCTTTACTAGTACAAATTTTAGAATGATTTTGTTGTGAAGCTTTATTATAAAAGTGAAAGCTGCTCAAGGAGCGGAAAGATTAATAGCAAAGGGAGAAACTGGTTAGAACACTAAATCCTCGGAGTAGTTTCCAATTTTCATGAGTGATATACAATTTTCTTTATGGCGTCATAAGCGGCACAACTTTTATGTGACAGGTTAACGCCGCCGTGCTAATTCAGTCCACCGCTAAGCGGACATTACTTCGGCTCTTTTAGTCGTCATATTAACCAGCATCGAAAATCGTAACCTCCCTTTATAACGAAAATTTTTGGAAATCAAAGTGTTAGTGTGACTGTGTGCTGATTAGCCAAAAACACTTATCTAACAAGGATAAAAGACAAGCCATCAGTACAAATCGTATGGAAGCAGGTAAAAACAGAGAGTTATTGGGCTTCTAGCAATAAATCATTCTCAGACTTCACAGAAAGCACTCTAAAGTAAGCTTCCCAGGGGATCATTTTTTATTGCAGTATGATTAAAGTACTTAAAGGTCAAAGGCTCGAAAACCATAAACGAACAACGAATGTCAATAAATGAAGTAAGAAGGAGACACGAACATAAAAGAAGAGCCACCACCTAGTTGCATCTGAAGTACTTTTTACGGTTATGTTAAGTAGTACGGTAAACACATTGATAGTGAAGCGAGTGGCGAAATTGTTTCTCTATCTCATCACACGCGGAGTACATAATTGATATAGAAGAACTGACATGCCTACTTAGGTTTCATGGGATCTTCGCTATGAATATGAACCATAGCCTTGCTTTAAGATGGCTTTAAGTGGTAATTCTTTCGTACACTGAACATTGACATCGAAACGATGGTCGTGTTCAAAAACGAATGAAGATTACAGTAGAGTAAGAGCCCGTAGACTAAGTAGCCCACAGACTAAGGTATATTTCTGTTTACTAGTAGCAGAGTGTGGTGACCAACCTCGCATTAACATACATATACATATGAAGTGCTGAGAAGGACCCGGATGGTGTAGTGGTGAAGTGCGCTGCTCCCCGGTAAGGACAACAGTGCGTGTTCGTTCCCCACTGCATACAGCTGTGGTCCGGAGTTTTGCAAATATCTCAGCACTTCATACGAGTTATATTTCACAACATACCCTGCCATTAAGAAGAAAAAGGCAGTAAATAAAAGAGTTAAGATACATATAAATATGTTTTTTACTTCTCTGCTTCTTCCTTTGGTGAAGCCTCTTTGTCAACAAATCTGACTGCTCTTGATGTTTTTGCGGATTGTGGTCTTTTAGCGACAATTTGTACCGTCGTGTATTTCAACAGAAGCGAAACGTTAAAGTGATTGATGTAACCAGAAAAATATTTGAAACAAGACTTTAGAGACGTGGGAAATCCAAAAAAAGCGCAAACTTGTCAGTTAGTTGTTGAAGGTGCTCACAAAATCTCACCTCTACAGACACATGATGATGTCTGGAAGTGTTTTTCTGGTTTCGTTCAAGGTTTTGGATACGTTCAACTGACAATATGAAAACGCGTCACAGTTTGTCAAGGCCTTTCGTCTTGGCCAAAACTGCTCCCTCGTATTCATCATCGCCTTAATAACGCTGGCAAACAAGCCAGACGATTATCGAGAAGGCGAGAGAACAGCAACGTCATCATCTCAAAGTGGCCAAATATCCACTCTTGTTTTTAATTTACCATTTAGGGCCACGTTTTTTTTTCCGCAGTTTGAGGCAAAGAGCACATAAACTTTCTCTTCCGATTGCAGCGACAAAATCCAATTTCGTCTTTCCAATGTTTAACTCAAAAGAAACTTGCTTTAGGGATAGTTTGTGAAATAGAGCAAAGGTACACCGTCATGATAGAGCAAATAAGATTTTTAAACTTTTGGTAGTAAGTAGCTTTTGCGAATACTACATTTTGTGGATTAGAGGGCTTTTAAGAAACGATTAAATTTAATTGTCCTGGAATGCTTTGGGGACACGAAAGCAAAACTATTTCTGGTACACTGCTATGTAGAAGAATTGCTACCACATTTCAATTTTATCAAAGGGGCCTTCTGCACGACTTAATGCGATATCGTTTTCCAATTTTATCCCTCTTCAGATTTGGATGAGAAATTGTGCACCACGCGGTTCGCCACTATTGACAACGGTGCCGACGGGAACGGTGGAAGCGATTCGTATCGACTTGCCAAGAACTTTCCCCAACAACCAGTTTCTGCGAATCGAACGGTAATTGATTTCGTTCTTCAACGTACTCATCGTACACGTGTAATAGGAATTGGAAATATTAATATTTAAAAAACATTTCTGCTCGCTCTATTTGTAAAGCTCCTAAAATTCAGCAGAAACACTGGAGAAACCCAAGAGGAAAACTCGGAGCAGAAGGTAGCCTCTTTTATGTCTTAAACCGAATTCGCTGACGAAAATTCACTATGTTCCACTTTGCACCGTTTTAGTCCTACGATTATCCAGAGATGTTAAATTTTTGACGAAAAGCGTCTTTTTTTTGCCTTTATTTTATATATTTTAATGTGTTAGACTTAATTTTGGACGCAGTGAATTGACTGCATAAAGGGTTGTTAAAGTGATGTTGACAGGGGTGGGACAATTGACATGCGAAGTATGAAAGTGAAGTGGGAAATCGGTGAAAACCCCAATGACGTGGTTTTCCTTTCTGGGTTAAAAAAGCCTAATAATGGAGAAAAACTCGTCCGTCGGAATGGATAGATTGCCACATGGAAATTGCCACATTGTGCTTGTTCGAAGCGACCAATGACGGCTCGAACACACGATTCGAGGGCCAATCTTTTAGCACTTCGGCAGTTTGCATTTCAATGCTACATTGTGAACAATTTAACGGGATCTGGTTCAATTTCAATCTAAGTTTATTAGTTGTATCCGACCATCTAAATGGAAACTCCGATCTCGTTCTGTTTGGTTGACCATATGTTTCAAGAAACTGGATACCTATAAAAACATTGAGTTGAGGCGATAAACCACTAGAGAGATACTATAACAAAACAATTTGTAATAAGAAGATGCTATACCGGTAGAAGGGCGCTTGTGGCGCAGTGGTCGGAGGCGCTCTGCAACACACGTGGAATCGATTCTCGTGCCCATGGTCCAGTAGGAATTCCATCGCTCCGGAGTCGACAAATTAGTACCAGACTTGTCTGGAAGGATAGCAGCGCTGGTTTGATACATCGATAGGCCACCGCGTGTCATTGCAAATGCCAGATATGTATTCAGTTACTTCTAACGGTACTTAATGAAGTCGAATGCATGGAGCATTCCTCAAGGATTGATCAACTCCGATAGCTTTATCCCTTTTTTTAGACCGATAAAGCACTAGTGCTACAATCTGAAATCTTGGAGTAGGACCGAACCTGTGAGATTTTATGTGCAACCTAGGTTCGTTACGGAACTTGGTGTGCGATACTGAAAAAGAGCACCTTGATTTAGCTATGCTTTATCCGTGACATTCATTTCGGCACGATTTTTAGTAATGAGTCAATTGTAAATCGAATACAAGGAAATGCAACGTGGATTAGGACCTGCTTTGTCTTCATCTGTTTGTTTAGCGGATTATCGATGATTTTCGTTCAAAGAGAAATCCGTGATTGATTGTCGTTCAATGAAAATATTTATTCAACTACTTCGCAATGGATATTCTAATCTTTTCGGTTTTATTCATATGTTCTTTCAAGCATTTCTTTATGTAGGAGTTGTCCCAGTTGTGTCAATAGATGGATATGAAGTGTGTGGAAACCGGCTAACACACACCACACATTGCAACGCCAAACAATAGTCAGCAATCTCCGTAATGAAAAAAGTGGGAGGAACAAGGTTTTCTCATATGTAAAGGCATACACGAAAGGTTTTATGCATGGTGGATGATTCATACTGTCAAAAATCCCATAAATTCCACAATTTTTTGCGATATGCCCAACTAAGCCCGTCATTTCACCGCCATGATCATTTGCACAAGAAGTTATCTTCCACTGTGCCTGGAAGAAAAACACTAGTCTCTTGGCTGGAATCCGGAAAACGGAGAGTCTCATCGCTGACCGTGTCTGGGCACATTCGGCTTGCCATGGCGCCCGGCCGACCGGTTGTTACATCAAAGCGAACGCCGCCGATTCGGTCGGCCCAGGAACAAAAAACGGCGTTGCGACGGTGCTGGAGATGACGAACTGCGTTGTTAACAAAATTACCCAGTAGTAAATAGTAAAACTATGCTCCATGTGATGGATGTGTTGCACGTAATGTTCTTAACGGAACTAGTCATGCTACTAACTACTAAAGCCCAACAAGTTCACCTTGAAATCGGACTGAGCACAACTCAGTACTTACACTGTGCAAAAGACCTAGGCTTAAAAAATGGCAGTGAACTCTTTTCTTTTCGAGATTGTTGTTTGTTGGAAAAATTCCAAGTGTGTGAAATCTGGTATATCGAGCGTTTAGATATCCTTTATTAAAATAAAAGAGACGTTCATTGTAAGTGAAGTTTCCGTCACTGGAAGAAAGTAAATGACAGGTCAGCTGTCATTCAACAACTATACAAAGCTTCAATCATCTGAAACCCTTTAGCGACACCCTGCTCATATTTTTCGTCTTACTAATGTACATCAATGATCCTGGACTTCCAGTCTCAGGTCGCTTCTTGTATTTAATGAGATTCGGGAAAGAGCATCTTACAACAGCCTCATTATTCTTAGAGATCCTACCCATACCAATGGATACTGTAGCGCCTGGCTTTGCGGCGTTTCTATGGAACATATGGTCAATGGTTTATTATGCACTATTCACACGACCATTATCGTCTTATGTGGAAAAATTACTAAAGGTTTCTTACTGAACGATAGGAAATGGATGGGGTTTTTTGTCACGTGGAGAATTTTCTGAGCGCTTCACATCAGTAAACAATACTAAGCATTGGTTGCAGGTTTCGCAATGCGCTTGGTCGGATGCTGTACACTCTTGCGCAGCACATTCCTTCCGTCGGCTACTGTCAGGTAACAGTCACAAAAACGGTTATTTCTAGGTTATGATGAAAGATGCTCTTTTTATATTGCTCTACTTAAGAAGGCGTTCAACGTTGGCGAATTCGAAAAGTTCTTCTTCTAATGCATTAGGTTCTGTAGATCAATACCAATCCTTACAATGGCACTTGAATTATAACGCGAACAAAGGACGTGTGTAGCGCAAGGTTACAAGTTCCTTACAACACACACATGGTCGTTGCCTCAATCTCGTGCCCAAACCAACAAAGCTCATTTCATAGCAGTCTAAGTCGGCACCAGGCTTGTCTGGGAGAATTAATGAAGAAACTCGATATATAAATAGACCATCGGAAACAATTGTCTTAGACTGGCTATGTATTCAATCATCTGGACTTCGAATACTTTTTCCTTCCGCCTTAATGCTAACAAAAATAATCATTACCAGTATTGCTGTTGCTGGTGTTATTAGTAATGATTAGGATCTGTACTTGTCTGCATGCTCGAGGATAGATACTTGCACGGAAAGGGAAAAAGTAAAATTAGGATGGATGTACGAAAAAACATTAGGAAATAATTCAATATGGTTGGATACCACTATTTCTTTTTTCTTAGGTTGCCACTTAGTCTTATTGTCATTTCTGAATTTTGCGAAATTTGATAATGATATTAGTTATCACAGCGCTAGTGTGGTTCTAGACAGAGTCTCAGGTGACTGAGTGATGTGACATTCGTCCGAGTTCGTCGGACAGCTGCCATTTCGCAGCAGTCATTTTCCGTCGAGGGTCTGAACGATGAAACGATCATTTTTCTGCATATATTTTTGTCTAGCATTAATGGTATGCATCAGAAGCAACCGAACTCTAAAACATCATGAAAAAGAAAAGGATTGGGTTTTTAACGAGCAAAACCATTGACATAAAGATGAAATGAATGTTGATAATGTAGTAAACAGCTCTAAAGCTCTAGGTGTTGATCAATCCTTGAGGGATGTGCCATGCATTCCACTTTATTTAGCTTCGTTTGGAGGTGAATGAATGCATACCTGGCCTATACAATGACTCGCGGTGGCTTGCCAATGTATTGGGCGAGTGCTGCTATCCTCCTAAACAAGTCTTGTACCAATTTGCCGACACTGGGGAGATGGAAGTCTTGGTGGGCCATGGTAGCGGAGATGGATTTCACGTGCGTGCTTGAAGGCGCCTCCGACCTTGCGCCACACACGATAATGTAGTAATAGACAAAACAGACAGACAATATAATAGACATAGACAGAAATACAGGCAGAGGTTTGCCATCGTAATCGCAACAAAGACAGCTTTCAATGCAATGATTCCAAAATTTAGAAAGATGAAATTAGGCCAATTAAAATCCAATGGTGATGCTCCTCCAGATGTTATTCTTTCTGATGCGATTGTTTCAAGCGATCATTTAAATGAGAATTTTTCTTAGAAAAGAAAGCTCAAGTGCTTGTAAAACCGGATCTTTTGGCGAAATCAGTGAAAGAATCTTAGATTTAAGTTACTGTTGAATGGACGAGCAGAAATGCTTACATTTCCTAACAATGTCTTGATGCTTCCTTACAGTTGATCCCTTATGGACGTCGTTGACTAAACTCATTCGTAAAGTGAAGATTTATTGTTGATTGACATCAATAAGTTAGCGCTTTTAGGGCATAAATTTTGTCGCCGGATTGATTTTATTGGTGATGAAAAACGAAACGAATGCAGTGGATTTGCTCATACAGATGGTGCGGCAACGACAAGACTACTATAATGAAACTATGTCCGGATTGAAACGGGACACTCGGGTGCTGCAACTGATTCTTGCGTAAGTTCTGAGAGAATAAACCAATTGTGCAGTAACTACGACCTTGTCACTACGTTGTTACAGAATTTCTGACTATTGCAACAGTAGACTAACATCATACACTCGTACCACTGGTTAATATGCGTTCGAATAAAATAGATATTAGTAGTTGGCAAGACCTACATAACTGTAAGTAGTTAAAGGTGGAAAGGTTGCTATCAGAATTTTATAACAGGTGGATGGAATAGTCATTGTAACTAGCTTGTATTGTACAATGTACGTTGTAGCTTAATTTGGCACTGACATTTGTTTTACGAGCCCTTAATTCATGTCAACGGGGAAAGACCTTCAGCACCGAACGATCAGCGAATGGTCAGCAGTAACTCATTTAGACAAGGAACCATTACATAATAATTACTTTAATATTTATACCAGGACACGACCTCTTTAGATGTCATACAGTGCGAAAATAGTAGCCTTTAATGGCTGGCTGTAACCTTCAATTTTAAATCAGTACATCACAACTAATGGTGAATTTCATTAGCTGGAATAAAAACCAGTATCAACTGCCTTCAACGTAAAATCTTCCGATTCTGTGATGGCGAAATTCTGATTTCATGGGAACCATGGGATTTATTTTGCTCAAAAGCTTACATTTTGAACTTGAATACAATTGAACAAGCGGAATTTCGTCCAGCCAAGCAGAATTGTTTTCCAACATGCATTGGTGTTTTCTTCTACCTCAATTGCATCGGAATTGTTTAAACTGCGAATACTTCCTCAATTCATCGGAAGTCCTAATTATAGGCATATTTAAACGAAATAATACATCGAGTTAGGATGGTGTAGCAACATTTCTTCTATAAAGCGTTCTCAACTCCTCAACTGCTCAACTAGCAGAGAAACTACGTACTTACTTGGATACTTGGATGACCCATCCTCAGTGGTTGCGCGGGGCCTAGCACAATCTCCAAAATTTACGGAGTTTTGCTGGTTTAGCCATTGTGGTTCCCTGGAGTGCTAAGGTTAGCCAGGCCAAAATCTGCCCCAGGTCGTCACCACCACAGGCAGTCTCCGCCCTTGTGGGTCATAGGGAGATTTTCCCCTGCTTTGATACCGAGATGGTGGTTTACTCTTGACTCGGCTTCCTCATGGAAACGCCTGACTCCTTCTCAGCTTGGAGGGATTAATCCCCGTACTATACATCGCAGCCCGAGACCCAGGGGCACCTCTCAGCCACGACGAGGCGGTAAACCGTTGGGAGGAGCGGAGAAATTACCGTCTAATAACGAAAAACCAGTTTGTTACGAAAATCTCTAATGTCTCGGTTTGTTTATCAGCTTAGACGACATTGTTGTTTTCTATAGCTATCGTTGCGGTGTCATCGGGTACTTTAGATGCGGCTGTGAAGGTTTGTATGTCGACAATGCTAAGAGTACTTAACTGGAGTCACTGTGTCTGTGAAGAAGGTGTTGGCACCGAGACGTTAATTGCAATAAGGCCTTGTAACAATAGAGTGTAATCTCATCAACAATTCAAGAAATTGATAAATCATGCCGTCGTTAGTAAGACTCAGTTACTAAAAGTATTGCGAACTAGTGTGATTTCAGTTTCATCTATAGAAATGTTTCCTCTACCACTCTGCATGAGTTGATCGTATCGCAACGTACTCCAGCTATTCAAGTGCAAAACCCCTTTAAATAGCGTTTTATACTTGCGAGCTACGACGGGATACCATTGCACGGTCTGTTCACTTCATAATGTAAGCGTGTTGACTGGTCGTCATTGAACCGGTTTACGAAACCTTGCTGCCCAAAGAGATTACTCTAAACGCTCGTCATACCGCTCTGTAAATAATGGCAGTTAAAAAGAACTGTTGACCACGAGCCAAGTGATATACAGTCTGCCTTCGACGACCACCGTAGGGAAAGGTATTGAAAAACTCGATGGTTTTTTCTGGCTATTAGTGTCACTTCATAAACTTTTTTTTTTGAGATTCTAAGCAAACCACCTTCAAAATGTTCGTTGTTTCTTCGATAGCTACAGAATTCGAGGGCTTGGTAGATTGAAAAATGTTTAAAAGAGATGCCAGTGCTGCTTATTGGTTTTAAATTTGGTTGACATCCAGACTTAAAAGCTGCTAAGACAATAAGAAATTTTTTGAGCCCCGCGGTCGTAAAAGCAAACGATCTACTTCGCAAGCTCATTGCATTCTGTACAATGGAATTTCTCTTGTTCAGTGGCTTTGATACCTAAAAAAAGAATTCTCAAAAAAGAAAGCACAAGAAAAGCACGCTTTTGGACTCCAGAAACTCTGAACTTTACCATGATGGAAGAAGAACGCTTGCGTTTTAATCTCAGCTAATATGTCGCGCTATAGACTTAGTTATGTTTGTGTTAATTTTAGCAGCTAATTTATTCTCGGAAGTTCATGAATCACACAGATTCATTCCGGAGCCGAATGTGCTCTGGTTGAGCGCGGATAAGTCCATCTTACTGAAAATCTACAACAGACTTATCCAACCGAAAACAAGCACTATATGTTGAGTATGACTCAAGTTTAAGAAATATAATGCTCTGAATTTTCGAGCAATTCACCAAACCTTCATGTGAAAAATTTCCTTTCCGGTTTTTTCTTATGTTTACATGAACCTAAAGCGCCTCAAAAGACTCCCATGTCGTTGATATTTGAATTGGGTGTCGTAATGTCGGCGCTGACATCAAAGAGCGCTTCGCTATGATGCACGTGAACACTCAAGCAAGTAGGACTTAAGGTGTCGATTTAAGGGTTTCTTGATTATAGAAATGTTGGCTGGGGTTCCATATGTTCTCCGTAATTATATTTTCGCTCCCAAGATCGACTTTCTATTAACCTCGGCATTGGAATATGAATGTGTCGTTTTCTTGTTCAGCAATCGCGAGGTTTTTAAACAGCATACATTTATTTCCATAGAAAGACACAATACAATACAACAGCAGCTGACGTTTCGGCAGTATCGCCTACTTCAGAGCCTGGAAGGGTATACTGATATACAATCTACTAGGCCAAACGCTTCAATGACACTTACAAAAAGAAGAAAAACTCTTTGGTAATTACATGATCAACAACTTCTCGAAAAAAACCCACCGCTTTTTCGTGACTTCCAATGAGGAAGTTTAGAACAGCTGATTATAGTCGCGCATGGTTGATGACAGCACCATTCCACATCAGAAATTGATGCGAACATACGGGGTCAGGTCGCGTGTGACCTCTGGCTATTCCTCCCTGCTATTCATTGTAGGGTTTTGGTATTTAACCAGAAAGCCTCAAGGAGTTTTCGTGCTGCTGTTTTGGACCCCTGTGCAAGGGTATTGACTTTTACTTCAAAATCGTCTCCGCTATGCTTTTGTATCCCATGCGTGCCTAGTGGGGTTCTTCGTCTTAGTTTTCGTTTGCCATCTAGGTGTTCTTTTATACGGATACACAAAGGTCTGCCC